GCCCTGGAGGGCCGGGCCGGCCCTGATTCCCGGCTCTAATGATATGGCGACATGTGGCTAGTGGCGGAGAGGGAGGCAAGTGAGGTGACAGGTAATGGATGGCGTGGCTTGAAATGGCAGGTGGGTGATGATGTGTTGTTATTATTATTATGTTTTTTGAACTCGATGAAAGTATCATTCAGCAGTATAGGGTCACCGTTAAAAGTGACATTTAACAGCAGCACATTGCTGCTAAAGACACCTTTGAACGGTGACATTTGTCGCTGATATTAATATCAACGACACTCGCTGCAATAGTGACTTGGTGGTGAACAAAAGTCACCGTTAAAAACCTTTAGCAGTGACTTTTTAACTCTCAACAGCAGCATGACACAGAAACTGTGCGCCATTGGAATTCTTCAAAGTGGGAGAGTGTGAGAACTTCTGATGATCATGTTAGTCCTCGACGGACCCAATCAGTTGGCTTAGAAATGTTATAGTTACCTAGCTAGGACTGATACTTGTGCAATTATATATCACTTATGGAAGATGTATGCGTCTCTCAGCTTGTATATCTGTGTGTAATCTCCTCTTTTATGTAGACCCAGTACGCTTTTCTGTACATTGCATGGAGTTTGAGTGATTATGCTCATCTATGTATGGACATGTCTTGCATGAGTCTGACATGCCAATTAGCCCTTATGTAAATTAACGAGGACATTTGAGGATCATTGCTAGAGAGCAGGGCTAACGAGAATTAATTTGGAGTCGGCAGTCATTTCTTGAATTTTAGTCCCTTCATCATAGTTTAAGGAGAACTTGAAAGTACAGCGAGAAACATTTGAATTCATGAAAAGGTGGAAAGGATATTGTCCATCTAAAAATATAAATAGGTCTTATTAATTAGCATATACTACCTCCGATCTTTAATATAAGAACTATTTAATTAATTTAAATAGACTAAGAACACTAGTTAAGTTGGTTATTTCTAATAAATAGATATTGTCTTTCTTTAAATATCTTTACTAGTAAAATATATTGGTTAGAATTATTATTATTATAAGAATTAGTTTGAAAAAAATTTATAAATATGAGAGACAAAGTGATTCGAATATTATATTTCATACCAAAATAAAAGTCAAATAAATTTTTATATTAATAACATGAGCTAATATTATTAATGCTTGGATGGGTATTAATTACGGTGGGGGGCTAATTGGGTGATGTTAGCACGCCGGCCCCGAAATGCAAGGGCAAATAATTAATGAAAAAAAATCATAAACAGATATAAAAATAAAAAAAATTATAAATAGGGTATTATTAGTTCTAATAACAACTGCCGATTGATAAGCAACTGATAATTATTTTTTGTGAATAAGTCTTTATATGCAATTTTCAATTTCTAAGATTTTTTTTTTTTTTTGCAAATATCCCAAAGTATAAAGACTTATAGTTTTTTTCCCTCATGGTAGACTTTAAAATTAGAAAAAAATGGTAAAAAGAGAGAGACTGTCAAAATAAAAAAAAATTGTAAATAAAAACTCATGATAATATTTATATAGATTTTGACAACAATAATATAAATTTTAACAAGAATTTTATAAACTGATTTGTCTGTATAATTTTTTTATTTTTTCGGCTGTTTTTTTTAATCATTTTCTCTTAAAATGATGCTAGTAAAAGGAAAGGGCAAAAAGAGGACATGTGGGGTAGACTGTAGAGGGACATGATAGCTGGCATCCCAAACCATATCAACCCGACCTTTTCAAATACACACGTTTCTTTTTCGTTTTCTGCATCGCTATTCTCTTTTCTGACTTTCTCTCCTCTCAGTGTTGACGTAAGAGAAAGGTAGAAAACGTGACACAGAATCAAACATCTTGAAGAACGACGAAGGAGATGGAAGAGTTCCAAAGAGGTGAAGGAAGGGTGATGGGCGATGCCATGACCAGATTTGAATTTTTGTGCTGAAATAGAAGCTTGGTACGATTATTTCCTCTTCGTCCCTTTTATATCTGTCTTCTTTTCCGACGGATTCAACTTTATGCTTATGCAACATCCGGATTCTTCCTCTTATTATTCACTGTCCTCTTCCTGTCATGACTACATAATTTTCTTTCTTAAAGAGAATAGCCCCTCCACCACAAAAAGTGAACTTGCCGGTGTCTTCAAGGTTGGAATACTGTGACTACAACCTTGTAGATGCCCTGATTTGACATTTTTTGTGTTTTTGAACCTGATTGATAAATACCCCTTCCAAATTTTTCTCTCAGTGTGTTGCAATACTTGGAAGACTCGATTAAAATAAAGTTTGAATATTTGATAGTTCCTGCTACACATTAGCCAGAAGCATGAAATGTATGCCTCACTAAAATCAGCGTTTTGTTTCTATTTTGATTTCACATGTGCTCGAGCAGGTTTTTGTTTATAATTTTCTATTTGGAAAACCATTGTTCAAATATATTCCCGCTCTTGATGCTCTTCCCTGTACAGTCTTGGAGATGGAGGTGGAAATATCATAGGCTTACAACCTGGCTTGGTTGGGGCCTGATATGGCCTGAATTGTTTGAGTAAGTAGGTCAGGCCTAAGGCCTAGAGGCTTTTAACAAGCTAAGTCTTAAAATTTAAAGTACGGCTAGATTAATTTTTTAAAATTTATTTTATTAATATATATTAAAATATATAGGCTTCTAAGTATACTAAATACATACATTTATATAGGTTTTAGTAGGCTTAAAACCTATTTATGACTTTTAAAGATTGAAACATAAGGTCTTTTTAACTACCTACATTGTAAGTAGACCTTTAAAATGACTTCAGGCTTGCCAAACCTTTCAAAGGCTCAGGTCTTTGGGGGGGGGGGACTTCTATACAAGCTCAGACCCATGCTTAAGCTTTGAACACTTATTATAAGCTTAAGCCTATTTAGCCAAAGCCTAATCTGTTTCTATTCCTAGTTAGACATCATATATTTCACCTTGCATTTTATATTCATCTGTTTGTTTGAATTCCTTGGAGCCAACCATGGAACTTGTTGGGAGTTTGTCAAGCTTCATAGGACTTGTGCTGCTCTCATCATGAAGTAATTAGGAAAAAAAAGAAGGAAAAATTACACATAGATTCTACACAAGACAATTAATTCATAAAAAGTTCTTAGAAATTCTAAAATGATTCCTAAGTCCCCAGAGATCTATGTGTAATAAATTAAAATTATAAAATTATTTATTTACCCTCATTAATTTTGTTGCAGTAATTATTTACAACCTCAACAGTGGCTGTTGACAACTCGAGGAGAAGTGGTTAACAACCTCAGCAGTGTCCCTGACAACTCACTCTATGAGATACCAGGCGCACTGTGGATATTGTTAACCACTTCTCCTCATATTGTCAACAGCCACTGTTAAGGTTGTAAATGAATGGGACTAAATAGATAATTTCACAATTATAATTTATTACACACAGGTCCCTGGGGAATTAGGAGTTATTTTAGGATTTTGAGGAACTTTTTGTGAATTAATCCTCTTGTATGGGACCTGAGTGTAATTTTTTCAAAAAAAAATTATAAACACTTGAGAGCATCCGAGAGGAAGATTCAGCGGCTGAATTTTTTGATGCAAAAGGTGGATGCTCGTCAAAAAGATGTAGGAGAGATGCAGTAAGAAAATTGGATACAGAAAGCTGCCAGAGGGGATTTCGTTGGAGCTACGATCTAAACACTTAAAAGCATGTTTATGTTCTGAAACAAAATTCACTTCTTTTCTTATTCAACTCTCTCTCCCTCTTTCCTTCACGTCCTTTTGTTTTGCTTGCCTTCTCCGGGGAACATTGACTAAGGCAGACTCTGTTTTCCCTTTTTTAAGATTATTTTTTATTGTAATCTAATTAAAGTTTTCACAATACATTAACTATCTTGTAAAATTATTTCAAAAATTACTGATTATAAAATTTATCATCTAAAAGTACTTAAGATACTAATATTTTGAATGAGTATAACTCATTTTTAGCAAATGTAATTTTTTCTAAACTATTTACATCATATTTTTAGTTATGTATAAATATTTTTTATTTTGCATATAATTAAAGATAGATTCCTCACACTTGAAAAAAGTAGCATTCATAGAAGATAAGTTGCACTTGAGTCATTAATAAAATTTCAGGTATCTTTGATAATAAATTTTGCAAGGAGATATTTTTCAACAATTTTCCGAAATTTCTATTCTTATTCTTATTATTATTTTACATAAATAAATTTAAAAGATTAAAATTTCAATCGAACAATTTAAAATTATAAGAAAATATTCTCATTAAATTTTAATAAAATTTTATATTTTATATTGATCAAATTATAATAGTAGAAATTTATTTGCATAAAATAATTATTTTATAAAATATTAAATTTAAACACATGAAATTATAAAATGACAGTAAAAAGAAAAGGAAAGAAAAAGAAAAGAAGGGAAAAATGAGAGGATAGTGTCCCGAAATCACCTCTTTTATTATTATTGTTGTTGTTGTTGTTAAAGGATAAATATTATTAAAATTAAAATAATAATTTATAATACTACCTTCGGTCCTAATTATAAGAGTCAGTTGACTAATTTGAGGAGATTAAGAAAGTAAATTAAGTTAGTTATTTGTTCTAAATAAGTGTTGTAATTATTATTAGAAAGGCTATTTTGAAAAAATATATATAAATATAAGAGATAAAATGGATTGGGTCTTATATTTAAGATCAAAATAAAAGTCAATTAAGAAAAGGGTAGTGCATTGTTGGCAAGAGAACGCGAATGCAAATTAGAAAAAGGAGCATGAAATGATCGTCTCACTAAAATCACCATTTTGTTTCTATTTTAGCTAACCGTGCGCTCCAGCTGGTTTTTTTTTATGATTTTCAATTTGGAGATCATATATTTGACCTTTCGTTACGTTTTCAATATGTAGTTGACAGGACACACTAGCTCCAGCAACATACATTTTGCTTGTTATATTCGTTTGTTCGTTCGAATTCCTTGGAGCCAACCATGGAAGTTCTTGGATGTGTGTCAAGCACCCTAGGCTTGTGTTGCTGTCTACATGAAGTAATTAGAGAAAATTATAAACACTTCAGAGCATCCAGGAGGAGTATTCAACAACTGGATAATTCGAGGCAAGAGTTGGATGCTCGTAAAAGAGATGTTGAACATGAAGTAAATCGATTGTGCAGTCAAAACAGAGCACAGCCAACAAATCTATGTAATTTCTGGTTTGAGAAAGTTGATGGGGTAAAGACAGAAGTTAACAAGCTCTTGGATGAAAATGGCTCACATAGAGGATGCTGTTTCATTTGTTCAAGAATCAAAATGGGGAAGCTTATTGAGAAGAAGATTAGAGATATTAATGAACTTCTAGATCATGTTCCACCTTTGGATCATTTAATTGTTCCTATAAACAAGGTTGGTGATGTTTTGTCTGCAACACCAATGGTGGAATATGAAACACATAAACAAATTCTTCTGAAGATTGGGGAATTCCTACTTGACAAAAAAGTCCGAAGGATTGGTGTCTGGGGAATCGGAGGAGCAGGTAAAACAACTATCATGTCAGAGATTCACAACCGCCTAGTGAAAGGAAGGAGTCAATTTAATTGCATTATTTGGGTGGAAGCGTCAAAGGATCCAAGAAAGGTGCAACAAGATATAGCTAGGAGATTAGGTTTGATTTTTCAAGATGCTGATGATGAAAGAGCAAGAGCTTCTAAATTATTAGAAGCTTTTGATAGGAAGAAGACATTTGCACTGATTTTGGATGAGGTTTGGGAGCCACTCTCTATTGAAGAAGTTGGAATTCCTTTTCCAACAGCAGAGAATGGTTCTAAATTAGTGATAATAACTCGAAGCCGTACAGTGTGCAAAGACATGGAAACAGACAAGGATGTCGAAGTGAAACTTCTTCCAGAGAATGAAGCATGGAATCTCTTCAATGACAAAGCTGGGGAACTTGTGCCATCAGATCCAAATGTACAATCAATTGCAATGGAAGTGGCGAAACAATGCTGTGGTTTGCCTCTAGCTATTGTTACAGTTGGGCGTGCATTGAGAAATACAGCAGATATAAGAGAGTGGGAGGATGCATTACAAGAGTTAAGAACTTCAACTACTGGTATTCACAACTTTGAGGAAGTAGTATATTCTCGTTTGAAGTTGAGCTATTCAAAACTAGAGGATGATGCAAGGCGGTATTGCTTTCTGTTTTGTGCTTTATACCCAAAAGGTCATCTAATTGATGAGAATGAATTGATTAATTACTGGGTATGGGAAGATTTATTAGGTGGCGGAAGCATGGCCAAGATGAAACGAGAGGGGCAAAAGATTATACGCCAATTAATATCTGCTTGCTTGTTGGAATTAAAAATTGGGAATGGGGTGAGATATGTGAAATTGCATGATTTGATAAGAGATATGGCCCTCACAATCATGAGTACAAAGCGTAGATGCATCGTGAAAGCTAGCATGGGACAAGTAAAACTGCCGCCCCCTCAGGAATGGAAAGATGTTCAGTGGGCATCATTGATGCGAAATGACGTGAAATATATAGGATTCAATCCAATCTGTCCCAGACTCACTTCTTTACTCCTTCAATGCAACTCATTTGAACAAAATATATCAGATGACTTCTTTGACAATATGCAAGGGCTAAAAGTTCTTGATCTCTCCAATACTGGGATCAGTGCTCTGCCTATGTCTCTTTCAGATTTGAAGAATCTACGTGCCTTGATATGTAGCCAATGTTGGAATCTTATTCGTGTTCCTTCTTTAGCGAGGCTCACAAAATTGGAGTATTTAGATTTTTCAGTTTCTAGAAGCTTGACAGAACTCCCAGAAGGGATGGAACATTTGACCAGTCTGAGACACCTGGATTTCTCCTTCACATGCGTCCAAAGCTTAGGAGCTGGACTCTTGTCCAAATTTACTCTTCTAGAGGAGTTGTTGATTCTGGGTTCGCCTATGAAGGTAGTATCATCTGACGTTACAAATTCTTACTCTTATGCAGTTGGCGTTGAAGAAATTGCATCCTGCCATAAGTTGTCTCTTGTGCACATGCAGCTATGTGACATTAGAGCTTACAGAAGAATTGTTAAATGTCTCGGGTTTTCTCAATTGGAGGAGTTCAAGCTTGTGGTTGGGTCTCTAAACGAATATGACACCTCACAATTATTTGAGAGAACTAGTTTAGTTATAAACATGAATTATGGAGGAAGGAACCTTTCAGAAGCGGAGATCACCGAATTGATTCCGAGAAATGTGATGCAGTTAGTAATTGAGTATTCTGATATAAAACGCTTCTCTTTGCACTTACTGGATGGAATGTGCTTGAAAACTTGTGATATCAAATGGTGTTTCGGGATGGAATGCATTCTGGAAAGTGAGGAGAACAATTTGTCACAGTTAGAGAGAATGAAACTATATGATTTGCCAAAACTGAGGATGATATGCGGGGAAGTTGTGAAACCAGGTACTCTAAAGAACCTGAAGAGTATTCATGTTGAAAGATGTGGCTCACTGAAATTTCTGTTCCAAAAGCAGCTCATCCTCGAACTTAAAAGTCTTGAAGAAATTAGCATCGTTGATTGCCGAGCAATGGAAGAAATTATTGAAGGAGAGAGGAATACAAACGCTGAAGGCAGCAGCCATGCAGCCGAAGTGATCCTTCCAAAATTGAAGACCTTGAAATTGCATTATTTAGAAAACCTGAAAAGCATATACAATGGGCACATTCAATGTGATTCTCTACGCACCATTGAAGTTGGTCGCTGCAAAGCTCTAAAGAAATTGCCTCTGGGTCTGTTCGGAATAGAGGAAGGTCAGCAAATATCACCATCATCTGCTCTTGAACAAATAAGGTGTGATGAACAATGGTGGGAATCGCTTCAGTGGGACCAACCCCAAGCTAAGTATCTCCTTCAACCGTACCTTGTCAATCCCCATAGCAGCAGGTATGCTTCAGAATGTTCTTCAAATGACATATTAACAATTAATGATTGTAAATATGGATATAATTTATTTTTTTTAATTTTTAAACTGTTTTTATCCACCCCATTCAATTTGATTTCATTATTCAATTTCTCATACATACAGGGACAGGTTTGCTCCAAGCAGCCGTAATACAGCGTGAAGGAGTTAATGTTGAAGTTTGTATAATATTTGATATGAAGAAAAGGAAATATCGTGTGCGCCCCTGTTATTGGAGTGTTGGCTTGTTTCTTCCAACTTTATGGTGAGACTAAAGTGAATTTTAAAGCTATTTTCATATTTCTTTGTGAGACTTGCTGTTAACCATATGCTTTAAGAATGATTTGGTTTCTTTGTCAAATAAGGTGTCTTTAATCATTTATCATTATAATTTTCCAAATTTTATTCTTTGGTAGAATCATACGCTCTACTCAGAAATAGTAGGCAATAGATTTGATGAGAACGCACTCCCAAACACATTTAGGACCGGTTTATTTAACATTAAAAAAAATTATATTTGACATTTTATTCCATGTAAAAAAACTTGGACTCATTTAGCCCTTCGCATCTCAATTTGAATGGTTCGTTATTTCTTCATGAAATTAACTTGCCCGAAGCCATCAAAATTGAGTGCTAGTATTTTTAACGCTGTTTTTCCCGCTTGAAATTAGAATAAGTCTACTGCATTATTAGCACTAAGCCCATGTCTATACATATAGAACTGCAATGCGATCCAAACATAATTTAAACAAGACACTGCAGAATTTCACGCAATTCTCTCCTTAAAAAAAAATGATGCACAAACATAATTAAATGTCTTTTTAATTATTGCCAATATTTGTTTGTTTGTCTCTTTAGTCTCACCCTCAATGGATTCCTATCAAATATCAGGACGTATCAGTTAAAAAAAAAAGTTTATAACTTTAAACAAATATTTTATAATTTAAAATAATAATAAAATATTAATCACAAGTCCATTTATAATTAGTATTGAATTTTAAATTGCTTCCTTCTTCCCAGTATAAGCCAATCAGAGATTAGGCTTCTTATCAACAAGAGTTTATCCAGTTAGTAAGGAGTCGGCTCATAATCCATAAGATCATGAGTTTGAATTCCGCTGCCGATATGAAAACCTTGTTGGTAGGCGATCTATGAGAATTTCTGTAAGCACTCTTTAAACTTGAAAGCATGCCCTGGTCTTGATGTACACTCAGAACCCAACTCACCTAAACTTTTTCCTATAAAAAAAAAAGAAAAAATAAACTGGGCTTCTTACCTCCTCATCGTCCACGAGATTTCTGCAACCATATATTTTTTTTAATCATTGGATTTGGACGAGAGCCGCAGCAGGTTGCAATTATGGAAAAAAGGAGGACCAAAAATTTGGTTGTTTGTGATTGTTCTTTCTTTTTTTCTCCTTTCTATCATATCTACCTCTCCTCTTTTACCCTTTTCTGTCCTTTCTGCGAGTGTGGGACGGGTGCAGCACGTGGAAGGCATATTTCTTTTTATATCCGTCCGGATTTCTCCATACCACTCTGAGTTCTGGCGGCCCAAAAGCCGGTGGTTTAAGGTGGCTCAAAATGGTTTGGACCGTCCGTTTTTGTTTATTTGAGAAAAACTCCAACTTGAAAATATTACAGTGATGACGCGCATTCAAGTGGATGCCACTAAAGGCTGCCAAGGGATTTTTTAAAGGGAAAATTTCACTGTAAAACCGCAGAAGACAATTAATGTCAAAGAGCCCTCAAAACTTTCTGAAATTTCACTGCAGGACCAAGGGGGCAAACTGATATTAATTCCACAAAGAAAATGACCATATTGCCCCTCATGTGAACAAGTATGGGAGAACCCATTTGCAAGTGAGATTAGATAATTTACAACATGCATAAATATATTTACAATTAAAATTAGTCCATTTATATATTACCTTCTTCACCTGAAGAATGTGTCTGAGTGAACAAGTGTGGGACAGTCCATTTGCAAGTGGGACTAGACAATTTGCAACATACATATATTTATTTACAACTGGAATTAGTCCATTTACATGTCACTTCCTTCACCTGAAAAAGGTCTCCGTGAGTGAACAAGTGTGGGAGCGCCCATTTGCAAGTGGAATTAGTCAATTTGCAACATACATACATTTATTTACAATTAGAATTAGTCAATTTATATATCACCTCATTCACCTGAAAAAGGTGCCTGTGAGTGAATAAGTGTGAGAGAATCCATTTGCAAGTGAGACTAGTTAATTTGCAACATACATACCTTTATTTACAACTGAAATTAGTCCATTTACATGTCACCCTGCAATAAGTATTATGAGGGGCAATAGCGTCATTTTCTTTGTGGAATTAATATCAGTTTGCCCCCTTGGTCCTGCAGTGAAGTTTCAGAAAGTTTTGGGAGCTCTTTGAAATTAATTGTCTTATGCGGTCCTACAGTTCCCTTTTTTAAATGTTTTTCAGGCGGTTTTTGAATCATAAGAGCTGACGTGGGTTGAAAACATGCCGAGTGACTCACCAGCTAACCAGGACTAAGGGGTGACATGGATGCAGACTAGGCAGATGACATGACGACTAGCTGGGACTAAGAGGCGACATGGAAGCAGATGTGGCAAGTGACCACCCGACAAACAGGGGCAAAGATGTGGAGTAGGTACAAAGGTGGCAAGTGACTCACTGGCTGACCGGGACAGAGAGGTGATGTGGGTGAAGACGTGTCAGATGACTCACCAGCTGACTGGGCCTATGCGGTTACGTGGATGCAGACATGGCCAATGGCTCACCAGCTGATAGGGCTGAAGTGGTGATGTTGGCACAGACGTGGCCCCCAATGACTCAACAAATGACGAGAAAAAGCGATAACAAGGTGGCAGAGATGACATTGACTAGGCAACGACGTGGATTGCCATGTGGCTGACGGACTCGTGTGATGACGGGGGAGGACCTGGTGTCGCTGAATTCAAAATAAAAATATATGATTATTGTGGACAACAATTCAACAAAGATCCCCCGAATTCAAGATACTCATTTAAAAAAAAACCCACAAAAAAGCTTCGTTAGTCAATGGTTTCAAATAACACGACGTGATAACTCTCCGTCAAATATATTGAAATTTTTTTCTTATTTTTTAATTTTAAAAATTTTACGTCTAATTTATTATTTAGTTACCGTATTCTTTTAGAATGCTCAATTCAAAATTTTAAATTCCAATTTTCCTTACACTTTGCTACTTGTCACAACATTAGCTTTGTCTTCTTGTTTTTTTTTTTTCAAATCAAGTCTCCATTTTGAATATTTGGAATTGATTCTTCTTTCAATTTTTTATTCTATAACAACAACATATTTCATAAATTTCTTTTAAACAAGACTTTCACATTACAGCAACAGATTTGATAATTTTTGTATATAATTTGTTGTTATTACTATTCTGTTATACGGTACATGCAGGTTGAATCCAATATACTGAAAATAAGAAATATGCAAAGTGACTATATTATTGATAACTCGTAAATAAGTAAATAATAAGGTCACTGTCAAGGTTTAAACATACAGTGCGAACTAGAGAAATTTAATATTAACAGCTAAGGGTGTGTTTGGATTAACAGTGACAAAAGAATTTTTTTTAATCTGATTAAAAGTTAAATTGGATAAAAGTCAGATAATATAATGTGATTTATGTCTAAATTAACTTTTATAAAAAAAAGTTAGCTTAAAAAATTGAAACTTATTTGAATGATTAATAAAAAAAGTCAATTTAGTTATAAAATGACTAAAAAGAATGCTCCAGTCTTTAATATAAGAGCTAGTTTAACACTTAATTTGATTCTAAATATAAGACAATACCTATTTATCACAAATAACTATTTTAACTAACTTTCTTAATATTTTCAAATTAGTCAACTAGCTTTCATATTAAGAATCAGAAGTAGTACATATTTAATATTAAATTTATGTAAGGTGAAAATTGTAAAAGAAATATGCAAAATAAAATCATGAGTAAAATATATGACATTCCCTGTATTTTGTCCTAATTAAATCCATCTATTTTGAAAACATGCATTTAAATCCAAACCATTAACTACGTTAAGAATATTTTAAAAAGATACTTATTTAATTAAAATTTATATTAAAATTCTTTTTACTTACTAATTTACACTTCATAATATTAAATTCCTAAATTTTAATTAAATAGCTTTGAAGAACTAAAATTTTGAAAAAACTACAATAAGGTCCCACTTAAGTTATAAATGTTTCTAACAAAATTTTTATTTAAAAATTTTGAAATATGAATTTAAATAATTTCTATAATCTCTTGAACTTAGATAATTTATATTATAGGATGGAAAACACATGTATTTAATATATTTTGTAGCCATCTCAAAGAAACCTAAATAAATAACTTCAATGGCTGTGATGAAAAATTAAAATTATAAAATTTTATAATATAATCAAAATTAATAAATTTTATTATATGTTAAAAATTCATGTATTGAAATTATTTTTTGTTGTATCAATATTTTTTTTTACAAATATAAATGTTTAAAGGATTTTTATGTTAATGAGGGGTATTTTAGTCAAAAAAGTTTAAAAGTCAACTAATAGGTGAATAGATGGAAATAAAATATTAAATATGTAAGGAATGTTTGTGTAACATACATTTTACTTTCAAGAGAAATCTATATACATTTTCAAAATAGATGGGAGATTTTGTAATTTAAGCAAAATAGAGAGGTGTTAGTATATTTTTAAGGAACAAAGAAGAGATGATTGAGTGTGGTGAGAGTGGGGTTCCGTCTACAACACTGTCAACAAAGGAGGCTGACACGTTGGAAAGAAGTAGGAAGAAAGTATGGACAAGAGAAGGTGGTGGAACTGTTGGCTGACCGGTAGTAGCACGAGAGGAGACTGGATGGTTGATGACTCTCAAACGGCCAAGTCATACAAACAGGCATGTTCAAATCGTGACAACAGTATGAGCGACGCTAAGGACGATGGTGAATGGTGGCTGGATGAGGGCTGGAAGACAAAGCTGTCGATCGAGAAGAATGAACGAGTCACCAACATCATTGTTCTTCCTACATTTAGGGAGAAGCTGGCGTGAAAGTGGCGCACAACTCTCATTGTCAGGTTATTGGGGCACATGATACAGGAGGACCACCTGGGGTTGAAACTTCAACAGTTATGGGGAAAGCATGGGGAAGTTGAAACCATTGAGATTGGGTTTGGTTTTTTCTCAGTCAAAATGAGCAACCTGGAGGATTATGAGACAGCGCTAACAAGCGGGCCTTAGCTGCTACATGATCACTACCTGGCGGTGCAACCATGGAAAGCAGATTTTGAACTAAATGAGGAGGTC